TTTTTGCGGGCTCTGCTGGAAAAAATACTTTCTTCGAGTGATCCCCACCCTAGCTTATTCTCACAACATAGTTTCTGACAGACCATCTGGAATATATATATATATATTCTGACATTATATCTGACATTCTTTCTGGCATATACTCTGACAGTCTTGCTGGCATTCTATCCAGCATCTAATCCCTTCCCCCTATTACTAAACCCCGCCCGAATAATAAAAACTAGGGTCCATTTCCAATTTTGGAAAATTTCAGGTTGGTTAATTTGACTTTTAATTGCTGCCCTTTAGAAAACAATTTAAACATCAAGCAACTATTTGTAGGTTTCACCCCCTAATAATAAAAACTAGTCAGCACCAGGGTGTTTTTTACTAGGGTCCGTCCGATTTTTTTTTTATTAGGGTCCGCTTCGAAATCCAATTTTTGGCAATATTTTAATTGTGTTGTAAAAGGAAATTTACTTCTTTTTGAAATCAAAAAAAACTTTCTTTATTCAGGGTTTAAAATTATTATTAGGGTCCGCTTTGGTTCCCTAATAATAAATACCTCCCTAATAATAAAAACTGCTTGAGGAGTTTATTATTTTGGGGCGGCCCGCGTTTAGTATTAGGGGGAGAGGATTATTCTGACATTCTTTCTGGCATTCTATGGCATTCTATCTGGGTGACATTCTTTGTGAGATGGGCACTGAGACCTGGCGCTCGCGGTTGAGGTCCGACAGGTCCGACAGTGCCCACTGAGATCTGGAGCTCGGAGAGGAGGAGGATCAGGGGGAAGTAACTCTGCTAAAATCTAGAGACCCTCACCTGACAGGTCGGGAAAAAGAGAGTGCGATGGTCCAAACGCTACGAATGTCTCCTGACTTTACTTGATCATCAGGCTATAACATGCTATGACCCTATGATATACCAGTCAATGCAGGACAATCAAACAAATAAAGAGTTATGATTTTGAAGTCAAACAGGAAAAAATGCAATCCTCAATGCTTTGTCATTTGTCATCTCAATTTGGATTTTATAGTCGTCCATGCCATATTTTGGGATACCCTTCTTGGCCATGTCTGATTTCGGGAGGTCCCTGTCCAATGGGGCCAGGAAACAAAACAAACCGGCCAGGGAACTCACTTGGGACCCACCCTTCATACTGGTCAGTTGGTAGGGAATCCGCTACTGGATTCTGATATTCCCCATGATACGTGTACTATATATATATACGTATATAAATAAATAAATAAATATATATATAGATAGATAGATACATACATATTTACATATGCATATACATATATACATTATAAATCCTTGTAGTGGTCAGTACAAACCCTAAAGTATACCAATACCAACCCAGGGAAGATCGCAGCCACTGCTCAACTGAAACAACCGCATAAAAAAGCGCCTTTGCTCATGTCAGGCAGACGCCGTTCCGAGAGGAAGCTGCTCGAATCGTCGTCTGAATCCTCCTGGCAAGGCACAAAGAGGATGAAAACTGGGAGATTTTAAGCAGTCAAATGGATGTGGAATCAGGAAAGAAGCCAAACATGTTGAAGTTCAACATGTTATTCTTCTCTCAAACATATAATAAGGTTTTAACATGTTTTCATGTTTTTTACCCAAAATGGGGAGACCCACAAGAACGCAGTTTCCAAGTAAAAAATGATGCGAAGTTCACACTTACGCAAGTAACACATGATATAATTTGGCGATTCACAAAATGATGGTTAGGCACACTTCACTATTCTTGATGCACAGCGAAAATGAGGGATGCGAGGATCAAAATTTGGGTGCACCAACAGTTTGCCATCAAGAAGTCATGGGGGCTGGATGTACATGATATCCTTCATCTTCCTGCACAGTAGTGCAACATTCAGATATAGGTTACTTTTCTACACTCATGGTGGGTTTTCATCACCGTCAGGGTAACAAAGTGACATCTACATGTGCATCAAAATGTTCTGAACATAAGTGAATTACCCTTAGTTCTGAATATAATTGAATACATGTGCCTACATGTTTAAAACCACTATAGAATGCTTGCATTATCCTTTCTTTTCCAATGACAATTTGCCAGTCAAACGCCCCTACTGGGTGTTTGATCTTTGACGAGCGCCTAGGCGCCTATACTTCAAGAAACAACATTTTCATGTTCTGATTTCGAAAGGGCATCTTGAACCAACTTTTAAACAACCATCTGAGTGGCTCATGCATATGCTGACGAAAAAACAGTCTGATTAGTTTCATCATGCGTTTCTTGCCAGGTAAGTACATGTCTGCGAAACATGAGAAAAACATGAGGTGCAAGAAGCCATCAACACTTTTTTTGGATGCAGAACATGGCAATGATGAGTACATACTTTCTGAACTTGGGGGTCCAAGAAAATTAAATAATGGTTTAACTGGAACGCAATTAGCTACAAACCCACAGGCAATAATATAATCATATAAAATACACGCCTATATAAAATATGACTACCAACTCAACTGGAAAATTAGGTACGAAAACTGCTTTATCTATATAGTCATCCTCTCAAGTTGGCTCAGAGCCCCTGGTGCACCATTTTAGACCCCAAAAATGGTTTCAATAATCGAATCCTACAGCCAAAAAAATGGATGCTCCGTTTTTGGGTTCTAAAATTGGGTCTTAAATGCTATGCCTAACACAAAAATCATAAACAAAAAACCCTGGCTGAAACCGTTGGCATTGGAAAAATCCAAGATGCAGAGATTCGAACCAAACTTCAATGGATTGGTTTTGTTGGGAAAATCTTAACCGGAAACCTGGGTTTTTACCATGAAATATAGGTCTTTCCGGTTAAAATTTTCCCATCATCCAATTCTATGAATGATACTCCATAGCATTTTTCAGTGGGTGGCCACAAATGGTCTTGTCATTTCCTAGCTACCGAGCCAGGTTTTTGCCCGCAATCTTTGCTTCCTTTCTTGCCAAACCATTAAGGCACACCCCAATCCAAATGCCTTCAGAATGTGCCCTAAGTTACCCCTTTTCAAATGAATTTAGTTTTGGGCCAATTCCATTTCCTGTGTGACTGTGTGTTTAATTTATATCCAAACATGTCCAACCAACTAATTTTTCAATAAAACAGCAATCTACTACATGCAGTATTTTTTCAAAACAGTAGCGTTTTTGCGTCGCAGGAGAAAAAACAAGGAACACACCATCACATGTGGAATTAACAAGCAGCTGTACGTGGGACTACAGCTGTCCCTGGAAAATATGGTAAGTTTGCCTACCTTCATCAGAATGGAGATCGTAAGTGGGGGCTCCAGACAGCACTGACTGGACACTGCAGCTATGGCATAGAGATGTCACCCTAGACAATGCACCTTGATGATTTATCTTTGGGAAGGGTTCTGGAATGGGTTTCTGCTTGGCCAAACGTGTGAGATACCAGCTACTGCAAGAGGAAACCATTTTAGAGCATTTGTATGCTTAGATAACTTAGATATGTTCATTTGTGGCGAATATTTAACCCACGCCTTTTCGGAATTAAATCAAAAAAGCAACCCAAATGCATGCAAATCCCCAGCAAATGCACGTACATTTCCGACGCGAGATTTTACAGCCTCTTGTGACACAACATGCAAAAACCACTTTATGTGTGCCTCAGGTGACGGCAAAAGAAGCAAACATGCAGAACATAAATCCAAAAAACAATGCATTGTTGCGGTGAATGCAAAGGTAAAGGTACAGCTAACCACTTCAAAACTGAGCTGAACCCACAAGTTCCCCCAGTCAGAAATGTTCTCAAGAGATCAAGAAACAAACTGAACTGTGAATTTGTCAATTTTTCTACCGTATATCTGTATATTATCCTTTTTGGTTTTTGTGCCAAATGGCATTGGTTCCGCCATATTGTCGCGACATAGTGCAATCGAGCCTTGTAAATCATCATAAACCATGGTTTGAACAAGAGGATCAAACTGGCAAATTGCTTTCAACCACCGGCTCACTAGGGATCACAAACACTTGCACAAAACCTGCACCATACATCATCATACAGTATTATACAAACTTCCAAAGTTCTACAATGCTTACGCGACCGGGGGTTCTACAATGTTTTTCTTTTTTTAATTTTAGAACTTTGGCCCGGAGACCCGGGGGGCCATTCTAGACCTTTCCAACTTGAGGGTATATATAGTCTATATATAGTCTATATATAGTCTATATATAGTCTATATATAGTCTATATATAGTCTATATATAGTATATATATTGTCTATATATCTATCATGATCCCAATACCAAACTAAGCCAATTTGATGGGACACATGGCGTCGCGTGCCTCTTCTCGATCGACCAGCCTTGGTGCAAAGCCATGAGAGTGGAATTGATGAATTTCCAGATACATGTGTGGAGTATCTATCTCTTTTCATCCATACATACATTAAGTGAGGCACATGATACACACATATATTATCATATATGATCGAATATGATCATGTATTATCATATGTTATCATATATCATCATATATTATCGTGCATGATCGAACATGATAATATATTATCATATATGATCATATTCTATCATATATTGTCATATATTATCACATATCATCATTCATTATAGCGATATTTGATGAGAGTTCACAGAATCAGCGCTCTTTTCCCCAGCACTCTCTCTGAGCATTGCCTGGGTCACAGGAAGGGCCAGCCCCAAGGGGATGGGACAGAAGTTGTGTTACCATAGGAAAACACCAAAACAAAACAACCACAGCTGCTTAAAAATAACAGCAGTAAGCTAATTGGTGGCCTCAACGTATCATCCGAAGAAAGACTCTGAAACAATGAAGACTAAAATAACACGTCAGTGTTGAAGCACCAGGTCATTTTTTTTCACGTGTTGAAGCCACCAGTCGCACAAAATCATCGGCTGTTGAGGCATCTCACATCATCTGCCTGTCCTACATCTGCACTGTTCAAACCATGGCCGCCAGGTCGGCTACCACCCGGCGGACCCCCCGCGTTCAACGCCGACCGCCGTGTCAGTGTCCCATGCGCCCAAGCGCTAGGAAGACAGGCCCACAGCACCTCAATTGCAGGTCACGTGTGTGGGGCATTTATAAATGGGCATGATTGAAGGCGGTACCTACAGGACACCATGGATTTTGTATCAATTTATATCAATCTCAAGCTAATTTATAACATACATACATATGTATATATATATATACATAACTATATATCTGTCCACTGTATTCATCTATCAGTAGACTCTTACACATCTATCAGGTCCCAAAACAAAATATGGAGGTTTCCTGGTACCATGGGGTATCCCCAGTCATCCATTTTCATCATTTTATGTTCGGATTTTCCATGCAATAAACCAGCGATTTTTTGGGTACCACTACCACCATGACTTACCCATGACTCGGGCCTAGGCACGGGGCCTCCAAGGCGGCTTCGGGAAAGTTGAAGAAGTCCTCCAGCCACGAGCTGAGTCGTGGTGCTGCCTGGTGCGGCTCCAGGAACCTCCAGAAAGCACGGCGCTTTTTTGGACGCGCTGTAGGGAGGTACAGAACTGCTGGATTTTATGGCTGATGTCAGTGACATGTATGAAATAATCATTTGCAGATTGTTATAGATGATTATGTTATAAATTATCAAGTTATAGATTTACATAGATTTTGTTACAGTTTGCAAACTGGAGTCAAAATAGCACATTTCTATTTAGATGTTTTTACGGTTTTTACAATTCTGACCTTTCATAGTGATCTTGAATTACCAGTCGGGTGATGTCATCATGAAAGGTGCTGTTCAAGGGATGGTTTTCTGAATGTTATAATTAGATGCTGTTCTAATGTTACACACCCCTTGTACCAGAATATTGAGCATATTTCTCCAGAGCTGGGATATCTACAGTTTCTTCATGTCTTGTGGGCCATATTTTGTTTTACACCAAGTCTACCCCCTGATATGTACTTGTGCAATTTCAAGCTTGGATTTCCCCGGTACATGGATGCATTGGCCACTTGCAATGATATCATCCAGGCATCCGAGTTGACATGGTGAATTGTGTCTAGGGAAGCAACAGCAGTGTCAAAAACTGTAGCATCTGTAGCCAAGCATGTCCGATTCACAAATCATTTGCTAGTTTGCAAGTTTAGTTGTTTCTCCTAATAAACCCTCAAACACATGCCTTTCTTTGTTCTCTGTTCTTTTCGATCGACAGCTCCTTTAAGTGAAGCAACAGCATCCAACGTCATCCAGGGAGCTTCAAAATGATGTCACTGCCCAGCGCATTCCGCAAGGTCAATTGGCAACCCATGATGTCCAAATATCCCACCCAGTCATTGATGCCCATACCTGCAGCCATGGGGCAACTCTTGCGGCAACTCGTTGCCATGGTGCTGTTTTCATTGGTAAACTAGCTGTATTTGGGAAGGCGTATTTACCCAATCACTAAGCTCAAGCAAAGAATAATTCGCATCATATATATATATATATACACTATATACAAATGTAAAAACACACATATATATATATTTATTTATATATACACATAGTGTAAATATACGATCTACCCTGTTCGGGTATGATGACTAGTTTGATGGTCAGGAAATAGTATGGTTTGACGTCATGTTTAAATCTGATGATTATTACTTAGTAAACTTAGTACATCATTACTTTCCAAAGTACTTTGGTATAATTAGTTCGCCACCCTTGGCCATTAAGCTGTGGCCATCCTGTGCACGGGCACCACGGTGCCACGTCCCACTGGCAGTGCATTCCAGCAATATACTGAAACTGTCTATGTATGATATGTACATATACATTTTGCATTATACACTATATAGTGTGTATATATAGTATATCATATACTATGTGACATATGAAATATCATGTTATAGTATTTACTTGTTTTATGATACTTTTGACATCTGATCTAATATTTGAGAAACCTCACCCCCTTGGGTTGCCTGTGTCTTCCTTCCAGGCCAGGATCTGATCATCCTCGAAATTCCAGCTTGCAACCTCAACGGGGCAGAACACACCCCAGTCGCCTTCGTGGTTCAAAATTCATCAACTCAACTCCAAACCCTTGGTTATGGTTTTTCCATGTCTATCGGCATTTTATTGTTTCGGAACGATTCATTGATAAGATAAATTCATACGGGTTTGTCCGAAAAAAATCTTGAATTACCCATGGTTGATCATCATCTTCCCCAATATGTCCCCAATATTTGATGGCCCATTCACTTTTTGATGACTGCATAATTTTTCCGAACTCTTTCATGAGGCTTCCCCCCCCAGGCCACATCATCCCGAGAAGGATGCTCCCATGATCTTCCCAGTATGTCCCCACCATTTCTGATGACTAAATGACTAGCATCACCATTTTTTGGATGTATATTACACACACACATATATATATATACTCTCTATATATAAGTATATTTAATATATATATTTAATACATCATATACATCATATATATATATACATATAATAATAACAACAACAATAATCATAATAATAGTAATAATAACAACCCCTTCATACCACATCAATCTTTTCCCTTTGGTGTTCAAACACACGTCTCGCAGTCCGCGCCACGATGCGCAGCACGTCAGCAACGTCTTCCCCGCACTCCGTGAGAATTTCCTGCAGGAAGCCGGAGCCAAGCACCACTGGAAGGGTTAGCGAACTTTGATGGGATTTATAGATATTTATAGTGATTTAATGGGATTTTATGGTGATTCAATGGGATATTAATGGGATTTACCCTCTGGTAAACTAACACAGCTATGGAAAATCACCATTTTTAATGGGAACATCCACTATGAATGGCCATTTTCAATAGCTACGTTAAATTACCAGAGGGTAGCACGTATACCTCGTATGGTCCCTTGATGCCTGGCAAATGCTCCAGGATCGTTCAGGTGATTATTGCTTTACTTGGTGATACCAATCTTTTCAGAGACCTTGCACATATTGCAGCCTCTTTCGCAACCAAGACAAATGCTTGAATCTAGTGGCTTTGACTTTGATACCACTTGATGCTTTATTCGCATTGTTGGTCGTATGAACAATGCGTCATTTACGTTTCATCCACGACTCTAACATTGAAGAGGCAAAAGCACAGCACAACATCTATCATGTCGACCCAAGAATAAAGCAAGCTGGTCATCATAGATCATAGGTAATTGATAGAGGGTCTTCTACTAGAAGTTAGATAAGCACTACTTACCTATGAATTACACAGTAGTTACCCATTAAAGACCCAGTGGCCACGCCACAAACGATACCCATTCTACTCATTAATTACCCAAGGCAATCATCCCTTGAACTACCATAGGCCCCCGATTATTGCCCATTCCAAGGGGAAAATGGCAACGGTCTTCGAAAAAAACCAACCCCCGATTTGCTTGGTCAACGGGTCTTTTCATGTTAGTTGGATAGATGGCAATTTACCCAAAAAACAATCCTGGCACAACAAACCATCTATATACCCATCAACATGTTCATCAAATCCACCCTAGTTTTTGGTAGCCAACCCATTACTGAATCCCAATTTTTGTTGATTAACTAACTTGTGAAACCCCTACCAAAACAAACAAACAAACAAAAAAACATCCCCAGTATGACCATGAAAGTGGCACAAACCATCCCCAAATGCACCAAATAGAAGGTTTATACAGGTTTATGGCATATAATCAATCTAACCATATATACTTCGAAATCGACATACTCACCAAAAAAAGTTGACTTAGTCACGTTTACCAACTTAGCAAACAAAAACTGGGGCACCAACGGTTATACCCGTCCAGTTGGCTGACGGCTGCTTTTCATGAAGAAACCAGGGAGCAGTATTCAAAACCTTCTGTCATGCAATGAAATACTGGTTGGTAAAGATGTAGGGGTTCCCAGATAATGATGCTCATGGATTACTCGAAGGTCTGCGCCAAGGTACTTTCTCGTTTGTGGTCTTGCTCAGGTCAAGTGTCTGTCTCAAGGATCCCCATTGAAACACGACGGACGACGAAAGACGACAAAGAAAAAAAAACGAGCAAAAGGGTTTCAAGGGTTCCTCTACGGGACCTCCGGGGGAAGAAATTCCAAGGGTTCCTCTCCGGGACCTCCGGGGAGAAAAAATAAAAATAAAAATTTTAAAAAAAATTAAGACGGGCACATACCATTGAGAAAAACACATAGCATGTTTTATGCATATTTGCAATCTTCGGTCGCAAGTGTTCTTCCCCGGGGTATGGGTTTGTCTCCGGGATTTTATTTATTTTTTTATTTTTTTGGCAGCCTTGAGCGCGAACCTTCACTGTGGGAAAACACTTGGCCTTGAGAAATCCTTCGAACATGGGAAAATTTCCGGGAATACGGTTGGGAAACCAGGACCTTTGAGGAGGGGAAAAAGAAAGCACCTTTGATACAGGGAGGAGGGTTGAGACAGGCACATACCATTGAGAAGGTAGAAAACCCTTCGTCCAGACTTTTGAATTACACCAATCCCCAGTATATTGATTAGTATAACCACCGAACTGATCATCAATATAATCAATATCACGTTTGAAGCATCTGAATTCCAGCCGCTATAACCCAGATTGCCAGATAGTATACATGGATGATCATCTCCCACTTTAATCATGTTCATAATGCATATAATAGTTTTATAATCTTAGATCACCCTAGGTTATAATCCGTTGTTGTTGTCTCTATAACAAGGGTAATCAAAGAAAATCAAGATTATTACCACAACTCAATACTATTAAACATTAATAACATTACTGAGCCTGAGCTGTAATCTTAGATGCCCCTTTGTTACTACTGTAATGAGACCCAAATAACCCCCAATATGAAAAGGCTGACTCATAGGTCAACATCCATTATTGGATACATCCACTATAATGATCTATAAATCATGGAGAATATCCATTATTGATCAATATTCGATATGATAATCCACTATAATCCATGAATATTCATTATAATCATGGAGAATTGGGGATAACCTCAATGTGGCCCTTGAACGTCTCCATGATCATTGGATGATATTACATAGATGGCGACCATCCACTTGAGCCATTAAAAATACTCCTATCTCATCTCATTTTACTAGTTGGTTGATAGGTTTCCCAATCCTATGGGGCCCATCATAATCCCCAGTAAACCATCCCCTTTTTCGCAATCAATTAACATTTAACATAGCTATTGAACATGGCCCATAGAAATAGTTGATTTACCTAGCTATAAAATGGTGATTTTACACAGTTTTTTGTATGTTTACCAAAGGGTAACCAGGGTATTTTGTTCATGGCTCACTTGGATAACCCCAATGTGACCCCCGGAACTCATCAAGGCGCCGTCTTCGCTCGAAGCTCGATCTCCAGCTCGCCATCCTCGAAGAGCTGCCGTAGCTGCCCCGAGTAGCTGACCACCGTACCGCCGTGGTGACACAACGTGCCCGACACCGCTACCTGGTGGAAACATCGGGGGAAACATCGGCAGTTGGGGTGGACTCCTGAAGATTTTGGGTTCAGAATTCCGGGTGGTTTCCATGATCAAAAATCAATTTTTGAAAGGAGAATTGGGAGTTTTTTTCATGGCAAATCCCAATTCCTCCAGGCTCCGCTGCCTTCTGCAAAATTCGACCCATACATCTAGCCAAGTACCTCGGCAGGCGTTTGGTAAATACTAAATTCGATGAAGAAGCATCGACTAGATATTTCAAAGCCAATCAAGACACTCCAATTCTTATGGTTATTGACTTATTAAGTAACATCTTCAGACCCAAACGAAACAAATCGGACAAATTCGAAAAGGTGAAATTTGTATGGAACGCTAATCAGCAGCCATATCTCATTTTGGCCATTTGGGGACCAACTTTACATCCCTAAAGCCACAGCCACTCACTCCATCACCGTCCGCAGGAAATCATCTGTTGGATGCCAGCAGCTGAAGGAGATCAAGCCGCTGAAGACAGGAGCTTTACCCTCTGGTAAACTAACAAAAAGCTATTGAAAATGGACATAGAAATAGTGGATTTACCCATGAAAAATGGTGATTTTCCATAGTTATGGGACAGTTTACCAGAGGGTACTCTAGCTACACTATGTATGAATTAACTAAACATGATCTAGTACGTTGAGAATGCTTATTTGAGTCTTAATTACACCATACATCCAAAATGGTTGCGTTCATTTCATGGAAACGTTGTAGATTCCGAACCATCCCCTTCCCAAAAGAACGTTACGAGTACCACCGGGGGCAACTTTGGAGTACACCAATACCTGGACCAAGCTGCAGTGGAGAGGATGAATGCACCATCTGCCTGACCCAGTGGAGATGATTTGACGCTGATTGAAGTGATGGTTTTTGGGATAAACAATGCTAACCAGATGTAACATTGTATATAAATATCCATCAAGATATTTTAAGATACCCTCTGGTAAACTGTCCCATAACTATGGAAAATCACCATTTTTCATGGGTAAATCCACTATTTCTATGGCCATTTTCAATAGCTATGTTAAATTACCCACAGGAGCGGAGTTAGCAACCCATTGGTTCCATCATCCCAGTGCCAGGGGATTTCCTTGTCATAACAACAGTGACGTCTTACGCATACTTCTATTAGGGGTTTCATTTAGGGTTTACATAAGTTATAAAATCCGGACTCGCCAAAAAAGTGAAAAAGATTGAAAAAGTGGAAATGGCCGAAGCGCGTGAAGTCCGCAGAAGGTTCACTTTTCTGACAGATTTTTCCAAAAAATCGTCTTAGACCACGCTAACCCACAGATGTACCAGAGTCAGAAAAAACACTGCGCCTGCGCAGAGAAATGAGTCTCCCACTGACGTTCATACGACCATTCCGGGACAACCCTCAGTCCTGCCCGTTAAATTACCAGATATGCCATTCGTTAAATCACCATTTTGAATGGGAAAATCCACTATAAATGGCCATTTTCAATAGCTATGTTAGTCATTGCCAGAGGGTATCCATCAAGGTATTTTGGGACATGCCATTCACAGATAGACATTTTGGAAGTTGATCGTTTCAGGTCGCCAGTCGATGTCCTTGAGACATCTTGAGACCAGCCACGAGTTTTCACACAATTTTCGGACAATTAGCACTGATAATTCAGTTATCATAATTTCTAGTTAATTAATGATTATGATGAATCGAAATAATTATGATTAATCCATTAACGATGATGAAATAGACAATCATTAATCATTAATCTAGACAATTGTCTATTTCTCTTCAAGTCACGTTAGATCCATTTCTTGGGAACCAAACATCTCCCAAGAACCAGCCGAGTCTGCTCCGCCTCTGGCGCCGGTGTTTGGATGCACCGGGGCTCTCCGGTGACAATGCCTGGCGCACCTCGTGAAGGCCCTAGGGATTTCATGAAAACAATGATTTCTATGGTGTTTCTATGGTGTTTCTATGGTGGATTATGGTGGGAAAACAATCAAACCATAGAATTTACAAAGATGGGTTTTCTATGGTGTTCTTCATATTTTGCCCTTCTGCTATATATAAACCATTCTTTTGACAGCCGGAAAACCGCTTGATAACTATATGTTGTGTCTCTCCCACAAGCAGTAAACAGTCTTTATGGCAGAATTTGTTCCTTGGGAGCGAAACCCACCAAACATGAGAAAACTGTTTACTGCTTGATTTTTCAGGATACACACGGGGCCACAAAGAATTACATGATGACAATTTATATACATACATTCAAAACCTGAACGTTTCTGGATATATATATATAGAGTTCCAAACAAAGCCAATCACCAATGACACCGAACCATTCAGCAAACCGAAGCCCACGTGGAAAACACCAGAAACACACCAGGAACCGTGACCTCAATGGTGTTTCACTGGCCATCAGTTTCAAGGAGGATGGCAATTTCTGCCAGTGACTGGGCACCAACAACTTACAATACATATTAATACACATATAGCCTCCATTTTGGCAATAAACATACTATTAATTTACTTATAATCTGGTTATTTAACAGAGCCATGGAAAGATCCACCATATTCAATAGGTAAACTATCTATAAATGGGCCATCTATACCATGGCTATGTTAGTCATAACCAGAGGGTATCTATTACCCTCCAGTAAATTAACATAGACCCTGGCAGTCATCGGGGTTGGAAGATTGGTTTCCTCTATAAAACGGTGATTTTCAGGGTCCAACTGTTAATTTACCAGAAGGTATAACAAAGCTTACCCTCTGGTAAACTAACATAACTATGGAAAATCATCATTTTTAATGGGAAAACTCACTATAAATGGCAATTTTCAATAGCTATGTTAAATTACCAGAGGGTAAGATTCAAATTTCTGGTTGGCCTATAAATCACCAACACAGGCTATCAATCATCCAATCATCCCCAAGTTCCGGAGGCGATTCCCCAAGTCGACCTGCGCAACTATCAACATGAAAAATGCTGCCAGTTACCCATTGTCCATCATGAAAAAACACCATTTATGAATGGGAAACCACACCAAAGCTATTCACATGAATTACTGTATCTAGTTTATCTACTTGGTGATTTCCAACCCCCTGAGTGGCCCCTGAGAATTTATATAGAAGTCGATCAGTCGATCACCATCCCATTTGTTGGAAACTCCAACACACATATCATAGAAACCACCAACATCAACCAACCAGTTTATCAACCTCAAGATCGTCATAGAACATGTTTTATGAGTCCAAGAACATAGACAATTTCCCACACGAAAGGCTGGTTTTGTAATTGGATCTATTCGTGTTGGGCCCAGTTATAGGGGATATTTAGCGACATTTAAGATGATCGGGGTTGCCATAAATTGAGCAAACCAATAGGAAACTGTCAGGAAAACTCGGGAACTATTCGGATGAAATATCACTCACCACAACTTGGGGTAGACAGAAGTGAAGCCAAAAAAAAACCAATACAACACACACCAATACGATTAGAAAAATACTTATTCGCACTCCGCCCAAAATAAACCCAAAAGGCCACATCGTTCGTTTTCAGCAATCTAGTAAATCCATGCAAGTCCACCATCATCTCCAATGGATTCACTATGTCATCATCCTCATTGGTAGTTATCAACCATAGTTATCATTCATGGTTACCTTTAAACTTAAATACATCATCATTAATCATTACTGGTTGGTGGTTGACCTACCCCTCTGAAACATATGCTCGTCAGTTGGGATGATTATTCTCAATATATATATGGGAAAATCTATTGATATGTCCAAAGAACCAAGCAGATTCTTAACCATCATTAATCATTAACCAATCACTTTTCGATTTCAATTATTAACCATTATCATTAACCATCATTAACCATCATCAATCATTATTAACCATTAATTATTAACCACCAATCATCACATCCATCCAGTGTATTTCTTCCACGATTTCGCCGTCCCAGGCGCCAAATGATGTCGTGCCAAAGGCGTCCCGTGCACCACCAAGGCCAAGACGTGGTGTTCTGCGGAGGCCAAAGCGTCCCGGGAAGTCATGGCCAGGCGAAAACGCGACCGCTCCTGGCAGCAAAATGTGGTGATTTCACCCAGAAAAAATGGGAAACATGGGAAAAACATCAGGGATTTCAGCAAAAAATAAGGGATTTCAGCAAAATATGGGGTTGAACATGATGGAACTTGGATCAGATAGGATTAGAAATATGGGGTTTAACTATAGATTTAACATGATTCATATGAAAATATGGGATTTATAGTATATTATTTTAGATTTATATGTCTCAAGCTTTGAAAGGGACAAGCTTAAAATGAGAACTTTCGGATCTCATGGAAAAAAAGGAAGCGGCTTCCGGTAAGTTTTCCCTCCAAGCAGCACAATGACTATTGGGATTGAACCAATGAAATGTGAAGTTTAACACTCTTTAACTGAGAAACATGGAATTTTACTTGCACGAATTTGCTACATAATAAACCCATAAAACTCCACTACTTGACTAAGCAACTACTTGACTAAGCAAGTATGGGATCAAATCCACAAAATACTGCAACACCTTTAACCCAAAGAAATGTGAAACTATGGGCAAAGCTACCAACACAACTATACAACAGTGGGAGCTCTACCCATAATAAGGGTGTACGCAACAACTGATTGGTTTTGACACAGTCAGTATGGATATGATGGTGATCCAACAAACCATGGGCATGTTACTAGAAACACATTATGGTATACATATTGTAATTTAAGACGTCATGGTATACATGTTGTAATTTCAGAAACAACATATTTTGTGAAAAAGGCCATGGTAATCAAGCATGCCTGGTTGGAAACAGTCCATATTTCCTGGGAAAATTCTACAAAATAATCGATGGATCTTGTTTACAGTGACTGAAACCAGTGCGAGATTTTCACATGGAAAAGTATGGAAGTTGTGACACGAACAGGTTGCAGTATTTCTTCGGCTTTTGAAGACTTGTGAAAGGGATACATGCGGCAAACTCATCCACTCTTGTCATTTCGCCATATGGGGCAAAACCTTCAGCCAATTGGGTTGGATTGCTTTGTACTTAAGTGTAGGTTTCACATAAACCTCCAACAGAAAGCCGTCCGAAAATCAGACCGGGACACTTCTAACATCATGAACATCTTTTCGAGCAGCCATTCCGGATGAGCTTCCATTGCACAGGAGCGAAATCAGCACGGAGCGGGAGTATATGTGGCCATCGGTGGCCTATGTGGCCTGTCTTGATTCCACGAGATCTGGGTGCAAATCTGGACTCGTTTCTGGGAATGATCTTGTTGGGAGCGGCCTCGCAAAAAGTGTAGAACGTGTTCCCAGATGGGCTTGAGCCAAGCACCAGAAATATGCTGCTATGCGAAAGGATGGTGAAACCGCACAACATCTCGAGGAGCATCAAGATTTGCATAGAACCACTTGATATCACTTTAATTAGGCTGAATATAATTGAATGATCTCCGAAAGCCATCGGCAGAACTCTAGCATAAACAATGTGCACAACCGCTATGTTTTGTTGATATACGGTATATTTATATAAACATAGACCCTGGCAGATAGGGGTTGGAAGATTAGTTTCCACTATAAATTGGTCATTTTCAGGGTCCAACTGTTGATTTACCCAGAGGGTATATTTTTCTGCGGCTTCTCGGAGCACAGCAGATCCACCGCGGAGCCCGTGCACCCCAGGGCCCTGCACGAGACGGATTCCACTCGCTTCATGCCGAAGCCACCACTTTGAGGAGACCTAAAAGGGATCAGCCCTTCCAAAAAAAACACACAGGCTTGATGAGTTGATTTTTCCCAGAAATTGGACATGTCATGGGATATATATATATGTGTGTGTGTTATATGTATATATAAATGATCTGTATTTATATATATATGGAAAAATGGTGAATGATTTACCAGTGAATGGGGTCCCTATTCTGAAACAAACCCAAATATCCCCCTGACAAATCTGCAATTGACTTGTCACCTGCGGTGGTGACTGCTCCGATGTTCAAGATCAGCTGAGGAACGTGCAGCAAGTTCAGGCCATAGATTAGATTATGCATTTGCCGCAATTTTGGCTGATGGATCGGTGGTTGCCTGCTTGGCGTTCTAATAAAGAAAACACGCTAAACAGTCTAAACATCTCATGAGAAACACAAATATGATTGAACCTATAAGTACAGTATCAAACAGAGTTTCATTTTGAATATGATTTTTCTCCAGTGGTGTAAATGTCTGTTTCTGGTGGCGGAACACTTCACTATATACTCCAAAGAACTCAACGCACTCATTTTTGAAATGTTTGGTGCCTTTTTAAAATGCGAAAATCCGCCACAGAATTTGGTGCTCGTCTAACATCGTCTAAGCGTTTTCAAAACCAAATCTGATCCCGACTTCACTCCGTGAAGTCCCCGGCTGCGTGCGAAATTTCAAGGGCCCGACTGAGGGTTACTCTCCTTAGGAGATGGTGGGTTGGGCTCCTGTGGCGTCGACGTCGGCGATGGGGAGCTTTTTCCTGTGATATGTTCGAACTATAAATGGTGGGACATGGAAAAAATGAATGGGACATTCTGAAAAAATATGGCGCCCCAGAAACGTGTTTCTGGAAAAAACAAATCCCCATTAACTATAGACCTATGTGCCAGGAAACATGCATATAGCATAAGCATGACCAATTTTTTACAGGGCAGCCCAAGGGACCGATCGGGACCGATGATGTCCCGAGGGGTCATAATTCAAAATAGAGCCGCTGGTATCAAAACATGGCAATGCCATTTTTGTTCGCAAAATGAGCCTTATCCTCAATTAATGACTTGGGTGATACTTGCCAGTTGAATTTGATATATCTATGGTATATATATATATATAGTCAATAGTCAATGTAGAGGCTGATCGCTTAATTTGTTGGTCAGTTACTTTGGTGATAAATTATAAAAAATACTTATAGTTGGTGAGAAAGCTGGCTTAAAGTACCCATTTTGTAACTATTGTTCCATAAAGCTATCATAAACATCCACTATACCACCGAAGAAACCAACTTAGATTGGTACATATCCATATCTCAGCCAACAAATATTGGTTAAACATCATGGTCAAACCCTCATATAACATATATTTATAACAGCCATCCATAAACTAACAAATATTGGCTAAACAATGGTTCAACCATTCTAATATATATATATACGTATACTACATAAACAAATAAATAAATGTAGAGTATATATAAATAAATATGTATATATATGTATTAATATATATATATAATTATATATATGTATATTAATATAGATATATTCACAACTAACTATTTAAAACAACCCTAAACCATATATAGCTTGCTGCATGCGGCTGCTCCTGTTCGGGCTGCTCGATGGATTCTTCAGTCCTTTCCTGTGCGCGAGGTTTTTTGGGCAACCCCTGTGGAGAAAGATCGATGATTTCACATACCAGATTATTGGTTGACATTATATCAATGGATTGGTTTAAGGGAAAATCTACAGGAAACCATAGTTTTTGCCATCAAATATAGGGTTTTCCTGTACATTTTCCCATCATCCAATTCTATGATTATATTGTTGGTATATACATATATATATATATCTATATATATAGCATCTATATGTATACATCTATGAAAACTATACGATATACCACCTGATAAACTAACACATGGAAAATCACCATCTTTAAGTTCGGTCAACGGACTACGTGGTCTGTTTTCAATCGCGATGTTAAATTACCAGAGGGTGTATTCACATGTTTTTGTTGACATTTTTTGTCAGTGTTCGAATATTTTCTGGAAGATCAAACGGTGATCCATACTTGACATCATGGTCAATCGTTAGTAGCCAAAAAATAACAACCTTTTCCTGGTTATGCTTTTTTTTTTTCCATTTATAGATATTTATAGCAGAATGCTAAGGGATTAAACTCTGGTAATTTAACATAGCTATTGAAAATGGCCATTTATAGTGGATTTACCCATTAAAAATGGTGATTTTCCATAGTTCTGGGACAGTTTACCAGAGGGTCAACTCCCATGCAAATCATCCAAGGTGGCGGCTGACACGATCGACGCCACGTGGCGATTTTTGATTTCCAGCCTTCCCCTGCAGAGGTGGCTGAGCCATCTCAGCCCTCTGCAATCCCCTGGAAATGTCGAAACCGAAGGTCATGAAAATCATAGTCCGGATTGGTGGTTCCTGAAAAACGGAAAAGCCGGTCATCTCATAGACCTTGCGGAACTGAAGGACATAACAGGAAGTTCACCCACTGATTTTGGAATAACGCATCTGAAAAAAAACGATGAAGAAAACGATGAACATGACACTGTCAGCTTTGACACTGAAAAAAAGAAGTCCTTCGAAACATGTTGGTTTTCCATGGTCTTTGCTCGAAATGAAACCACCAACCAACATCAAGTTCCAGCCATGGCGTCGCCACTCAGATGTACTGTACATCCCTCCAGCATCCACCTCAGGTCAACCCCCAGATACCTCTAGTCATGGGCATGAAACGGCATTTAAACAAGATAATAATGTGATTTTAACCATATATAATATTCATAATATATATACATATGTAGTATGATCATCGTAATATATAACAATATAATATATATATATAATTAATTAATATGATTTATAAATGAAAATTATATAATGAAAATTATAATATATAATATATTGATTTCGGTCCTCATTTCGTACTTTACTATTTTTACCCTGGCAAGTTATAACCTTCCCAAACATGGTCACCTTTGGCAGTTGTGCTCATTTCCCCCTAATGTTGGTAAAACAAGGATAAACCATCCCCAATTTCACCATAAACAGTTGGGATTCCAACCATTCCCAAATGGTTTATTTATTTGTTTTACCCCCATGATATTTCTTTGAGGTCCATACCATTCTCAGCCCAACGGCTAACTCAACTGGCTGCCACGTTGCCATCAGGGGCAGCAGGGCCGAGGGGTCTTGGAGCCAAAGCTCACACGCATGTTGCGCGCGCGAGGGCTTGGAATACCGAAGCTTCCTGCCTTCGGCGATGGCTGCAGGGGTGATGACAACGCCAGATGCTGGTTGAAGAACTGGGGGTACAACCCCCCCAAATCTGCTACTATAATGCTTTAAATCCGGGGTTGACATTTGCTGGTGGTCTCAACTGTTGCCCCAAAACATGATGTCATCAATGGGGGATCGTTATCCTGAATGGTAAACAGAACAAGCTAAAGAACATAAAACCATCAACGAGGCTGTTTTTTTTAATGTTTTTTTGTGGGTCGGGGTGGGATGCTACCCATGAGATATCACACATGTTCACATGGCTGACTAGAGAAATCCTCATAGTTTAACAAGGTAATCATGCAGCACTGACAGGCTTCTTTTACTTGATTATCTTGATTATCTTGATTAGTGACTATAAGTTTTCGTGCGCACAGCCATCTGTACGCCTGGGATTCAAACAATGCAAAACCATCAGCCTGATGGCTCCTCGATAACGCCTCATTCACATTGAAAGTGGAGTCACCAATCAATCGTCGTTTGATGATCAACAACTCCAATCGAACATCCGTTTCAAACAAAAAGGACATTGTATGAAATTGTGATATTTCATGATCTTTCCAAGTTTGGGCTTAGGTCTGTACAGGATATGGCCCGATAATCTGATGGCTCAATATGATCCGCTTCCCGCCTCAAAGCCGGATACCAAAGGCAACATCGGGTTGTTGGCAAGAAGTCAAAGGCAACTATATGACTATATCAATAATTACTTGGATGATCTTCGATGGTTTTATAATTATAAACCCAATTACAAATTCGATTTCGCATGCCAAACATACTGGTGCTTAGTCGGGAATGTGGGAATTATCCAATCCATAACTATTATAATACAATCATCCAATCCCCCCTTTCCCTACGTTTAGTACAAGAAAACATAGGAAAATACCTATGCAGATTACAGATCCCGGCTATTTCAACCGTCCCATGCCTTGATACTCTTGGCACTGCGGCTCTGCGAAAGAAACTGGCCACCGCCCTGGAAGGGGGAGACAGCTCCGCTGCCTAGGCGACGTCGATTCCATGGATTCATATGGATTCCATGGCCATGTTGAATAGCTACGTCATCTACAACATTCCACAACTGGGCAATTTTCCGCCATGAACAA